TACAATGAGTAATTGTAACTAAATGATCAGTATATCATTAGGATAATACAATATTATAGAAAATACAAAAGGAAAGCAAACAAGTTGTATAATGAAATGACATTTAAAAAAGAGCAGTACATCTTTTTTATGCTACTACAAGTTAATCGATGTATGATTGTTAAATGTTGTACTGAATGTTTTGTATTACTCCACATAGTTTGGTTGCCGTTTAACTTTCCAAATTTCCGTATAAGTCCATACAGCCTTAATAATATTCACAGTGGGACTGTACAGGATGAGCCATGATTGTGTGTGTTCCATCAACCATTTTTTCCCCTGGTATTCTTTTTCCACATTTGCTGCATATCGATGATTACTGTCTTGCTGGAAGATGAATTATTGCCCAACATAATTTATTCAATAAGGAATGACATGATGAATAAAACCTGCTTGTACCTGCCAGCAGTCAGGATGCCATTAATTTTATGTAGATCTCCAATACCAGTGGCTGAGATGCAGCTTACACTTGTATTGGTTCCACAGCATACTTCACGGGATGATATTCTCATCTCTACCATTGAACAAAGTATCGTTGATTATAGTAGCCAAACAATTTGGATTTGGATTCATCTGTAAAGATATCCCTCCTCTAGCTTTGCTCATCCTATTTTTGAATTCTGATGCCCATTTTAGTTTTATGGTTTTGTTATCTCTCCTGAGTAGCTACATCACTCATCTCATTGCTTGCTAATGCTCTGGAGTTAACATTCACTCCTGTATTTATACCTAGGTCATTAGAAACATCTATCTTGAGTTCCTTGACATCTTTTTTTAGACAATTTAGTTTTTATGTCGACTGCTTTTATTATCAACAGGAGTAGTTTAACTTACCCACTTCGAAATTCTCAGATAGCTCCCACTGAAACTTTGCATCAGTCTGTCACTTTGACTGTTCTGCACCAACCAGAACTTTGATTTCTACACGTTTGTTATGTGCCATTTTTGTTCAGGTAGGTACGTGTACACGTACCACACTACTGCTGGGAATAGTATGATTGACTATACTTTTAAAGGCATTATGTTGATGTGACACTGTCTAATTAGGTGCATGACAGCCAGTCACAATGTAAACTATTAACATGTGACTATTCAGGTGCTATTCATTTTCAGACAATACGGGGGTGGGGGTGGTGAGAAATCCTGAAATATTTGCATTTAATACTCATTTTGTTTCCATACTTTTTCCAATACAGTATAATACTTCTTTAGCTAAATCTGAATAAACTAAACACAGTGTATAAAGATTTACAAACATTCAGATCATACTCTCGTACTCAATATACTCTATTATATGAAAGAACAGAAACGCAATTGTATCCAAGGTTCGCAGGTATTAAAATTAATTTAACTTTTTGGTAAAGTTATAAGAAGATGTTATATTTCATCATGAATCAGTTCCACGACCTACCTTCCTCCAAGTGTGTTGGGAAGAAAACTCGGTTGTTGACCTAAGTATAGAAATATATATATGTATAATGATATACAATCAAAGACTTCTTCTCATTAAAACTGTTCATTAAATATAGTTAAAACTCAGAGATATTATTTTTACTCATCGAGGCCAGTGTCGTGATGATTTGACATAAGCTGTTGTAAAACACAACAAATAATAAATAATGTTTAAATGCAAGCATAAATTCAATAGCAATAAAGAAAAGTCTAACAGAGCTATATAAATTTATAGAAATAAAAAACATTGTGTAAGAGCAACATTCTAGGGTTGACACATATGGGATCGTGCGCGCTGTTTTCGAGCTATATGTTTTTTTTTTATGGAAGACTAATGGCGTCCCCTGAAAAATTTACCAAACAAGGCTATTTGCCACAGACAGCAGTAGGGGCGTGAAGTGGACCACTCCCTTTTTCCATACGGGCTCGAGAACAGTATAGGCATACTGGTTGAAAAAAAAAATTATATATATACCACATGGCTCACTAATCCAGGACTAGTAGATTCGTGAAGAATATGAACAGCTTTACAACTACATCTCCAAACATATGAACTAAAACTGAAGAATGTGATTAAAACGTAGTTCTGTTTTGTATTTAGCTATCTCCTGAGCTGTATATATATATATATATATTGAGTTCCTAGAGCGCTTTTCCATAAGATTCATTCCTCAATATTTTAAGGGTTTATTCTATTACAATCTCAATACGGTGAGACCTTGTTTTGTGTCCACCGTTACTGTGAAACTATATTATTTTCCTACGTGATATTGTTACTATTTGTTCTCATGCCCTAGAAACTATATTATTTTCCTACGTGATATTGTTACTATTTGTTCTCATGCCCTAGAAACTGTATTATTTTGCTACGTGATAATTTTACTATTTGTTCTCATGCCCTAGAAACTATATTATTTTGCTACGTGATAATTTTACTATTTGTTCTCATGCCCTAGAAACTATATTATTTTCCTACGTGATATTGTTACTATTTGTTCTCATGCCATAGAAACTATATTATTTTGCTACGTGATATTGTTACTATTTGTTCTCATGCCCTAGAAACTATATTATTTTGCTACGTGATATTGTTACTATTTGTTCTCATGCCCTCGAAACTATATTATTTTCCTACGTGATATTGTTACTATTTGTTCTCATGCCCTAGAAACTATATTATTTTCCTACGTGATATTGTTACTATGTGTTCTCATTCCCTAGAGCAGCTGTAAATATTTGTATTTGTTTATTTACTCTTTTGTACCCCAGTAGCTCTGCGATAAGCTGAAACATAAAGCGTTTATTCGAGGTTCGATCCCTGTGGAGGGTATACACAGATAGCCCACTGTGCGTTTTTGTGCTTAAAAAACAATCAAACAGTTATTTATTTCGTCAGTGGAAAATAATTCACTTCGATGTACTAATAACTAATCATTTGTACACCGTTTTGTGACACAATTTCTTCAACTTTTGTTACATTTTAAAGTTTTTTTTTTAATATTGTTATTATTGTCTCGTCGATGCTTTAGTTCCTTTATCTTGTTGACAGGCTTTTAAAACGTTACCCACAATTCCTATTCCTTAATAATCTTTCCATCCAGTGAACTGTTACATCTTTTGGACACAACGTGATTCCACTGTTCTAGTTCTATAGCTTTATGAAAGTCTTTTGATTTCATTCATCTTCTCCTGGATTGATATTTGCCAGGAGTTTTCACACTATATTGTCTGGAATAACTGTTGCTACAAAAATGGCCACGTTTTAACTCAAAACAATCGTATCACAACAGTTAAAGTTCATAAACCAATATCAGTATTATAGCTGTGTTTCACAAGGAACAATAAAATAACGTTTTGTGTAATACTACACCACGAATCACAAGCATGTCATAACATAAATGAAGTTACATTGTTATTTAAACATTCATTAAAACGATTATTGTAAGTATACACTACAGTGGTAAGTTTCTTACAACAGTATTTCACGACAAACAATATTAGAAAAATACTTCATCAAGATAAACAGATAAATAAATAACAATAAAAAAGTTCCAAAAAAAGAACCAATGTGAAAAAAATACATTTTTTTTTAAAGTGAAAACCATATATTCCAGGCAGATTGGTACAAACAACAAAGAGCCCCCCCTAAAACAACAACAACAACAAATATCAAACAATGTATTCTAGGTAAATCTGTGCATCGAGATGAGTCGTAAATTAAGTAAAATTCAAATGTTTTTTTTCTAATTATAAAGTTTTCTTCTTAAAGTTTTATAAGCTTCGTGTTCTTAAATACAATTTGGATTTTATCTCTCATGTACAAATACATCTTGTACAAATACACCCTGTTTTCAGAGAGCCCTGATGAGGGAATAAGTGTATTCTGAAAAGTTCAACTCTTGTGAATGAAATGGTTTTTGTCTTAACTGTCGTTTCCGTCTTCATTTGCTGACTCTGCTTCCTCCCTCCCTCGTGAATCTAGCACCCGATGTAAGGCAATATCGCCATTATCTTAAAGTTTTTAATCAGTTTGTGCTGGTCAACATCCAAACAGCTGAGATCAAGATATCAGTATAATAGTCATATCGATAAGGTAAAATAGAGCCTTTAAAATGTAAATGTTACACACAACTTTATTAGATCATAAAAGTAACATTGTAAGAAGCTATTCTTGCAGTTTCGTTCTATGTTTGTGAAAAATAAACAAACTATGAACTGGGAATTAACCTAAGAATGTTCAAAATAGGTTGTCTGCAAAGTATTCTGTAAGATTCGAAACCAAATATTTTATTTAAAATACAACAAATTCAAAAAAAGATTTTAAGTTGAATTAACGTAATGTTAATACACAAGCCAGATACCTCATACCAAGGTACATTGATAAAGCTATTAATCTAAAATCATCTACTAAAGTTGAATACAATGAATAAACAAATACTGTCGACAATTTAATACATTTTTTTTTTAATTTTAAACGAAACTGATATATGGTCTTGCCAAAATAACAGAACAATGTGGAAATCCAAACATCGTGTGGTTAATATAGAGCAGGCTTCCCTTAGTGAACTAAAAACTCAATATTAAACATGCATATATTATGTTGACAATATATCTAACGACTACTAACCTCAGCTTCCATGATCTCCAAGCGCGCGTGGTCCCCGAGGTTCACGATTTCTACTATTCTTGTTTAACGTTGTTGTCCTAATCAAGGTCTCCGATAGGTGTCGCACAAGTCGTGCCAGTGATTCATACATAAATTCTGAGATCCAAATATAGTCACACAATCACGAGCGGGTTATTTAAATCGTCATAAACCAGAGGATCATAGTTTTAATAACAGAGAGGGCACGGTTGTTTGTCTTTTTGATTTAGAGAAGGCTTTTGATATAATCTGGCACTCGGGTCTAAGGTCCCGGATGTTAGAGATGGAATTACCGCGAGGAATTATTCAATGGTTGTCTAACTTCCTAGAAAACAGAAAATGTCGAGGGCATCTACTCGGAGTATCTTGCTCCAGAGGCTGGTGTACCTCAAGGAGGGATAGTTAGCCCCATATTCTTAATCATGTATGTAAGTGACATGCCTCTAGACGATCCAACTTTTTGCTTCACCTCACAATATGTAGATGATGTAGCTATCTGGTTTGTTTGTTTGTTTGTTTGTTTGTTTTTGAATTTCGCGCAAAGCTACACGAGGGCTATCTGCGCTAGCCGTCCCAAATTTAGCAGTGTAAGACTAGAGGGAAGGCAGCTAGTCATCACCACCCACCGCCAACTCTTGGGCTACTCTTTTACCAACGAATAGTGGGATTGACCGTCCCATTATAAC